GACCTGGGCTGGGACTCTCAAAATACTTTCTTATTAACCACTCTGGTGTGACTCTACCCTCCTGCTCCCGAGACTCTCTGCCCTTGATTTCCTCCTGCCCTTAAGAGGGCCATGGGTCCATTAGCCCCTCAGATCACTTCCTGCCCCAGATGTCCCCTCCACCTTCTCTCTATCTGGGTTCATGGCCTTCAGTCCCATCTTCAGTCCCCCTCACTCGTCTTGAAGCCTGGGAGTTGGCAATTCCCTCCACTGTTTCCCGTAAGAACTATTACTTAAAGTCATATCTGGGTTTATGTTTTGATAGCTACATTTGTTTTATTAGTTCCCCCAACCTTCCCAGATTATTGCTTTTTTGGGGGGTGTGCCTGGGAATGGAATCAGAATCTTGCAAGATTAGGCTTGTGCTGCACCCCTGCATTACGCCCACAGCCACATAACACTCACAAATGTTCCACCTGTAAACACCATCCTCAGATTAGTTTTCTACTCTCCTAATGCTACACACTGGAATTGGACTCCAACTGAGTTGCAAAGGAAACAAACCAGATTTATCAGGGCAGATGATGGTGCAGACAGTGCAAGGTGCGGGCTGGGCACATGAAGATGGTTAAGAACTGAGGTTGCTCTTACATGATGTCAATCATTAGGCATGAAACACTGTTATGGCCCTGACTCAGGGTTTGGCCTTCCCTCCCTTCTCTGTCTTGCAGGATAATGTCATCCTCCTTCTCCAGTGCCCTCCTCTTATTGGCTGGCTTGTGCTCTCTTGTTTCTGGCACCCAGGCTGATGACCTTGAAAACATGGATGGAGCTTTGCATGACCATGAGCATCATGAATCCGTAATCTGCCACAATATCTTCTACAATGTTTTTGACTTGGCCTTTGCCTTTTACCGGGAGCCGGCCAGTCGCTCAGAAACCACCAACACCTTACTCTCCCCAATTAGTATTGTGGCTGCTTTTGCCATGCTCTCTCTGGGCGCCCAAGGGGCTACTCTCTTACAGATCCTGGAGAGCCTGAATTTCAACTTGAGAATGGTTTCTGAAGCTCACATCCACAAATGCTTCCAGATTCTCCTCCACATCTTCCAGCATCCAGACCACCAGCTCCAACTGACCATGGGCAGCAGCCTCTTTGTCAGTGACAATCTGATGCTCAGGGATCAGTTTGTGCAGGACATCAAGGAGCTGTACCACTCCAAAGTCATCCCCATCAACTTTTGGGACACCCAATTTGCTAGCAAGCAGATCAACGATTATGTAGAGAGGGAAAGCCATGGAGAAATAGTTGATTTGGTCCAAGATCTGGAGAAAGATGCAGATCTCATCCTGGTGGATTATATTTCCTTCCATGGTAAGTAGGGATTCCTAGTCCTAGGTGGCTTCTGTGAAATAATCCAATATGCCCTCAACACCCACTGCTTACACTTTTCTTGACAGCTCAGTGTGGGACAGGGCAAGGCATCCAACTTGAGCTATGTAATGTTCAACTCAGAAACAATGAGACAATTCCATGTATCAACTAGATCCTAGGACTTGTGAGGATAATACTCAGTGGAAATGCCAGTAAGAGAGAGGACTTGGAAATGGAATGGTTCTCTAACTAGAGAACCAGAGGTACAGATTGGAACAGATGGAGAAGACAATATTGTTTCATGAATCATAATTTAGACCATGCTAGAGTGATGAAAGACTGTCAGCTTTGGAGTGTGAAAGACCTGGTGGCAAGAACAAGGATCTGGCTTCCATCCCTGGTACCCTATGCCATGCAGACCACCAAAACTGGGTGTGATGGCACATGCCTGCAATCCCAGTGCCAGGGAGGCAGAGACAGAAGGATCAACATGAGTCTGAGCTGTGTACGGAGACCCTGTACCAAATAAACAAAAAAATAAATAAATTTTAAAAATCCTGCCTCCATAACTCATTAGTCTTGACATTGATCAAGTCATTTTACTTCTTGAAGGTACCTCTTCCTTTCCTTATCATGGACAAAAACAAACAAAAGCCACTGTTGTCATGTCTTGAAAGGTTAATCAGGCTACATAATTCATGAGTCTGGGTACAATTCCCTGCCCTTGTTATCAAGTGCTGAATAATTCACATAGGGGCACAGAGCTAGAGCTAAGCAACAAGCGTTGGTCCTTAGCCTGCCCTCCTGCCTCTGAGCGATGGGAGGGCCAGGACTCCAGGGACCCAGGTGCTAAGGCAGAGTCCACAGCCCCAGGAAATAACCTGGGAAGAGAAGTGGGGTCAAGGCCAGGCCTGATGCCCTCCCTGTCTCCCTTCCTTGGGCAGAGTCCAGCAGTGATGAGCACCCGGGCCACAGGCAGCACAATTGAGGTCCCCGCTCTGCTGTGCCTTAAGGTGGTTCCTGGGCCTTCTCCAGGCTCACCACCCCTTCCTGTCCAAAAAGAAAGGAGGGCTTGGGATCACAGAGTTGTCTGCCCACGCTGACAGCCAAGACCCATGAGTACAGCAGAGGAGTGGGGTGGTAGCCCAGGCCTGTCCACCTCACAGGCTATACAAGAGAAGCCCTCCAGGGTAGAACCCAAAGGGTTGGTCCTGAGCAGGGGCTGAAGCACCCACCTGTACAGGACAGGAAGTCTCCAGGAAAGAGCCCAAGTGGGACCTCGGGACTTCTGTTTCTACCCAGTCATTTCATTAGCATTCTCGGTCGTAGGGTAATTAAATAGAAAATGTAAATACAAGCGCTTTTCCTTTAGAGCCAGCTTGTCAAATCTGTCTGAGTACATACAAATTCAGTACAAGCGGCTCCTCCTCCTGCTTCAGATTATCTCCATAAAAGCCCTGCAGCAAATTTGTGTCTTTTAATCTCATTTTACAGAGGACCCCGGTGAGTCTCAGAGAGCAGTGTCTTAAGTGGGACTCAGTTTCCCTCTTCTCACACACTTCCTTAAACCTTGGTCCCACCCTTGCCTGATCTCTCTCTCTCTCTCTCTCTCTCTCTCTCTCTCTCTCTCTCCAGGAAAGTGGACCATCCATTTTCCAGCTGAATACACTGTGGAAGAGACCTTCCATGTAGACGAAGACACAACCATCAGTGTGCCCATGATCAACCGCCTGGGTATATTTCTCCTCACCCGGGATGAAAAGCTGTCCAGCTGGGTGCTGGTCCAGCACTCTGTGGGTGACGTCATGGCCTTCTTCATCCTGCCTGACCCAGGGAAGATGCAACAGCTAGAGGAAGGCCTGACCCAGGAGCACTTTAATAATCTCCTTGGAACCATTGGTGAAAGGTGAGTCCAGTGCAGGAACACACCTAGGGTCTCTGAACCACATCAAGACTGTGAAGTCCTTTAGGACTGGCCAGGGCTGGGCAGGATGGACCCCACCCCTTGGGTCACAGCTCCTGGGAACAATCCTGTGCTTCTATCCAAACCTAGTGCTCAATTCCATTAGCACTAGCTAGGCTCAGTAAGGGTCAGTAACATTGAAAGCTCTTCCCAGTCCTCACTGTGGCCCAGCAACTTAATATTTGTAATCCTGTGGAAAAGTTATTGGAATTCCAGTAAGTTAATTCCAACCTACCATTTCCAGTGCAACTCAAGGCAAGAATAAAGACAAGAAGACATATTTGTAATTATGGGGAGTCAAGGGAGTCCTTAATCCAGCTACAACATGTGCTAACTGAAACAAAGGCTTTGACCCAAAGCCTAAGTTTTATTAATTTTGAAGAAGGAAGTGACTTGAGGATGACTGAATGTGAGAATGGTGGGAAGCGCATAAGTGCTGTGAGTTGGGCTAGGAAGGAGGCCTGAAATCAACTCTGCAATATGCAGAAAGAAGGATACACAGAAAGAGTGATTTGCATAACACAACTGAGAGAGTATCTAATGTTTGGGGGCAGCGCTTCAGCTCTGATGTGTAATCTTTCATGCCCTGGGAAGTCATAGTCTCAGGGCTTTCTATTGTGCCCCAGGCTCACCTATGTTTACTTGGGAGCCGGGGAGTAGGGCGGGGAAATACTGCCTTGTCCTCGTCCTCTTTGCTTCAAAGACTACACATCAGCACCTCCATTTGCATTGCTTAAAGCCAATGGCAAGGACAAGGAAAAGCCCTAGCCAGCTCTGCACACATCAATACATGAAAATAGAGCCAGGTTCAGCCAAAATGGAGACAATTGCTCTTTCTTCAAGGAGACTAGACCAAGTATAGAGGCCCCCACAAAAGAGACCAAGTACAAAGGAACAAGGAAGATTTTATTGCGAGCTCATGCACAGAGTCCTGGACTCTTGAGTCTGGACCAACAAGATGTCAGTACTTGACTGAACCTTTATAAAAGGTTATACACTTTCCAGGTTTCCATAGTAACCACATTACCTCATTTTCAGGAATTTTACAAGAACGACACACAATTGCCACAAGGTTTATATTTCTCAGACACTGTTGGCCATCTGCTTGTCATGGGGCAGTGTGGTTTAACGTTTGCCCTATTCTCTGAGTTGTTCTATTTGTTCCTATTTTATGACCCTGGTTTTCTCTAAGTGGCTTTATGGTTATCTTCATGGGAGGGAAGGAAGGAGTGAATTTAGTTTAAGTGAACTTAGGTGACCCTCCCTTAAAATGGAGTCTGTTTTGCCCCATGACAAGTGGCCATCAGCAAGTAATCAGAGGACAGCAGGCACAATCCCCTCCTACCATGGACAATGCCCCTTCCCATCATGCAGTGCCCAGGGGCAGAGGCAAGGAGGATAGCACAATTATGTCAGGATAAAGAACACAGAGGTGGCCTCCAGGCAGAGCTGGAAGCTGAGTGTGGCATCCACACTTCCCCAGGGGGAGAGTTCAGGTGCCTGTATGGAAAGGCCTGGAACAGGACACAGCGAGCCCTGGGAAGCTGGGCAGTTTGCGGAATTCCTGCTCTTCTGTCACTTCTTGAGGGTGTTTATATCCCAGGAGCTGATGTCCTCAAGCCTGCACCACAGCGTAGTCACCTTTGGCACCAGCAATGAGCCTACACCCAGAGACGCTGTTTAATTGTGCATCGTATGGGACAATGTAAGAATGCACACAGGTGTGAAGCTGAACTGTGAATAGAAGTGTCACCAGTGCTTTTCCCCAGGCCTCGAGGGCTGAGAAAAGAGCAAAGTCAGGCTGGGTAGGACCTGCTACCTCCATGCAAGCCTCCTCAGCTCACCTATTCCTCAAGGAAACCAGAACGCAGCCTTTCACCTGGTGGGGGCGCTCTTCTCTTCTCACTAATGGCTTCCACTCAGCCCCTGCTGCACTCAGCTACGCTCCCCTGGTGGTCAGGCCCAGAGAGCCACTGGCTGGGTGAGAAGTGACCACAGGCTACAGGACAGGATGCCATCCACTTCCTGGGAGGGCAGGCACCTTGCATCTGCCTGATGACGCCCTCAAGGAAGTGCCTTCTCAGGGGCTGTCGGGACAGGATGGTCCCCATGAAGTTAACTTTCTCCACAGCAAGTACAGAGGACAAAGCAGGGCAGCTTCTCTTCCTCCTAGGGGGTGGGGGAAAGGCAGTGCAATAACAGGAGACACAACCAGAAAGGCCACATGTGGGCCCCAGCAGTCCATGAGGAGGGCTGTGAGCTTCCTTCCTTTTCTCTCCTGCCTGCCAGATTTGCCAGGATACACTTCCCCAGACTGTCCATGTCTGCAGCCTACGACCTGAGGAGCATCCTGAGCACACTGGGCATCACCAAGATCTTCAG